GGAAACAGCTTTTTCTCTCTATATTGATCACATAAGAATCTCAGATTTAAAAACCTCTTGAGCCTGGGAAGCTTGGCCAAGGCGGATTTTATGTACATTCTTAAGGTTCCTAGCCTTGCCAGGAAGTGACACATTTTACTCCCTTTACACTGTAAGGCTGGGAACCATTGAAGGCAGACATTCTGTGCATGCACTCAAATATTATATTCTGTTTAAAGCCTTGGTAATAAAACCAATGTTTTCAATTGTATCCTTCTATAAAGAGATAGATAATTTTTATTGAACTTATGCAAATAACCATACGACCATGAAAAATAATAATACTCATGAATAATTTCTGCATTTGGAGGGATCAAGTAGGTAGAAAAAAACAAATATTTCCACATTTGTTCATAAAAAGTATGTTGTACCAAATTGCTGTACAGTACAAAAAGCTTAAGAGAGAAAATTTCCATAAATCTGGAAAATTAAATAAGAATCAACAATGTTTCAAGTAAGTCATAAAAAAATGTTATTTTCATCGTGTACTTTAATCTCATGTGATTAAATTTTGTTCAGCTTGACCTTGATTACCAGTTTCATGAATTCATCAGTTTCTTCATTACAGTTTAAAATTTTTTATTTAGTTCATTTATCTTAAAGTTATTAGGAACCTCCATTTAAGAGTGCTTATTAGAGTATTTTCCATGAATCTGATTGCAGATGCCTCTAGAGAATTCAAAACAAAACCTGTGAGTGACAAAAACTTTGAACAACTATGGATAAAAAGATAATGAACATTTATAATTGAAAAGGAAATTTAGTTTTTTAAAATAACAACCCAAATTATGACTGAGAGCATCACATCAGGACTATCAGACTTTTATGCATTTTACATAATCTTTAGAATACGCACATCAAAAATATAACCACAAATATAGCTATAAACAAGAGTTAACACAGCAAAAAACATGACTGGTGACATATTACATTCTTGTTAATTTATATGATTTTTGAAACATTAATAACATACCCAATCATTTTACATCAGGACAAACATTTATCACATAATATTCTTTCTCATAAAAATTTATTCTCTTTTCAACCATTCTTACCAAAAATACATTTTCATACCCTTAACTTTCTTCACATTTCTCTCTCCTTCTTACTTGTCTGTTTTTACCATGTTTTTATGGTTTTCTAAATTTTTATTTAGAAACAACCTTTAAATAAACTCCAAATTAGAAAAAATTATTCTTTTCCTCAATGAAGAACACTTTTATGGTTTTCTTACCAATTTTCATTAAAATATATTTCATTTTTATATACTTTATACACAGAATTGTATATTAATTGTAATTTTCCTTTTTTTTTTTTTTTTTTGAAATGAAGTCTTGCTCTGTCACCCAGGCTAGAGTGCAGTGGTGTGATCTTGGCTCACTGCAATGTCCACCTCCTGGGTTCAAGTGATTCTCCTGCCTCAGCCTCCAGAGTAGCTGGGATTAAAGGTCCCTGCCACTGTGCCTGGCTAATTTTTGTATTTTTAGTAGAGATGGGGTTTCACCACCTTGGCCAGGCTGGTCTTGGACTCCTGACCTCATGGTCTACCTGTCTCAGCCTCCCAAAGTACTGGGATTACAAGCATGAGCCACTGTGCCCAGCCACAAATCAGTATTATGATAAAAATTATTATATAATTTTAGAAGCATGATTCCAAAGAACATAGCTTGTTATGTCTTAATAGACCCAAATATATTTAGACTTTCTATAAAATATAGAAAGCCAGTAACAAAATTAATCTTTAGTAATTTCTGTTTCAGTTTTGTATCTTATTCGAAAATGACCCAGAAATTTAGTATCTTTGACTTAATTTAACACAAGACTTTAAGAGTTTAAATTAAACAAAAAGTTTATTCATAAACATTTCTATTTTACATTTATCTGATTTATTTATCTTTAACACTTATACCTAGATACTTATGAAAACTAAGGTATTAGACAAAGCAAGTCACCATTTCAAGTTTTTTCTCTGTTAACCATTTTTAAAGCCTGTGAATGTCAAGTATTTTCCTAAATAAGAAACTTAAAGTTATTTGCACATTTTGCTGATAACTCAAAAAATGTAGCTGTTTTTATTAAACAAGCAATATTCAGTTACTCTCACATATCAAAGATTTACACAAATGAAGATCATTCTGTTTCCAGGCAGACTTTGTAGATTTATAAACTTTGTGTCAAATACTGATACCCTGAAAAATATAGCAGAGACAAAGAGAATCCTGTATGACCATTAAACCTTAGGAAAAAAAAGTATGCCAATGAATTTGAAGACATTTGTACTTTTATTTCAACACCAAATTTAAAACCAACTTATTTATTAAAAGTTTACTTAAGCCATGTGAACTAAAATGCTTTTAGGTTTATCACTATATATTTTATATGAGCACGCATCTGTCTAAACCAATCTGAATGGAATTTTAAAGGGATTTCTGGGCGTCTACCTCCAATTTAATCAGGTAGACACAACATAAACCATAACACATGTACATATGTATATACATACCTAAGCCATATACACACATAATGAAAAATCTTAAAACTTTCATTCTAGAACTTTGGTCATGAGATAATAATATTCACACTGATTTATAAAAGACAGCTGGTTCCAAATTATATATCTGACAAAATAGGACCTTTTTACATGACTAAATTCTATTGACCCTATAGATAATCTTACAAAGTCTGTGAATCAACGTTTTAGATACAACTTATTTTTCAACCTAATTTACCTGCTCTTTCCTACCTCCTTTTTTTCATTTTCAAGTGAGTTTATGTTTAAATATTCCATTGTTTACATTTTAGCTAGGAATAGGATAATTGCATAAGAAAAACAAAATCTCCATGTGGCCTTGAAATCTTAGCGAAAAAATCTATCATTGTTTTCTGGTCTATTTTACTTAACTAGTCAATGTGGGCAGGGAAGGATTTGAGCAAGTCACATTTTTCCAGTTTTTCTCTGGCCCCTGCATGGTATGCAAAGCAATTTTTATGTTAATTAGCAATATATCATTGCTCTGAGATTTGACCTTTTTGATTTAAGTGCCTAACATTTGTAAACATTTATTTAGATATTTTTCTTTAGAATATCAATTCTTCAATTATTTGTTCCATCACCCTAAGCAGTTGTTAGGCAAACGTAAATTTACATTTCCAGAAGGTGTCTAAGTTGTTGGTTGTCATGGAGCTATGATAATTTGTAAAACTGTCTATTTGATAGCCCTTCAGGACTTTTAAAGAAATCTTGGCTTGCATGCCATAAGCATTGAATTTTATTTCAACACCTGCAGTAAAGTCAGTAGATTCAAAGTAGATAGAAAAAAATTAGAGAACTTTGAAGGCTCTCCATGTTAAGTGTATGGTCTCTTAATTTGGTACTAAGAAAAAACAAATTTGGAGATTTCAAGTGATCCCCATGATGACCATCGATCCAACAATATGCATGAGGAAAAGTCATGTATCTGGCTGGAGTCCCAGAAGGCTTGGCATGCCTTACTATTTAAAAATCCCATTCCATCTTTTATTAATCTCTAGAGAGCAAGGAAAATGCTACAAATCTTGTCAAGGAAGGTCACAGTTTGGATTGGTGTTTTAGATGGTTATGACATCCGTAGTGATTTTTAATTAGTCATTCTGCACCCACCATTTAGAATGTTTAGTTTTGTTCTCAGATTTACAGAAACAAGCAGGGGAAAAGAACAAATCATTTGCAGATATGCATCACTAATAGAATAAAACCCAAATCAGAATGTGCACAAAAATTTTAACCCAGGTGTGCAGATCAAACAAAATATTAAATTAGGCATGCAGAAAGCAAACAAGGGTAAATTCACCAGAAAAGACATGTCTCAGAGACAGAATGTAAATTTTGCGGAAACCAGAGTACTGAAGCCAGAGGATAGTAGTCTTTACAGCAGAAAGGATTGCCAGAAAAGATAAAGAGTCTTTTATCATCCTAGGACGGATGTTAAGGTGTTTTATTGCAGGTGGCCTTCTAACCAAACCAAATCCCTAATAAGGAAAAAAAAGGCCTCTACAAAAAAGAGAGACAGTCCACCTGAGAGAAGACTGAGCAGGGCGGGAAAGGTGAGCATGGAAGCAGAACTCTCAGGGGGCTCATATGAGTCCCACGCACTGGCTGCTAGAATTGCCAATTCCTTCTGGAAGTGATCTGGCTTCAGATCCTACTTCTGTATACCATTTAGAGAGAGGGTCTCTAAAATAAAATAATGTTTATTTGGAAATAGGGCGTTGCCTTCGGAATACATGTGCCACAGTGAACTGTGTGGGTATACAGGAAGTAAAGGAAGACAATGGTTTCTAAAAAAAATTAGGAAGACTATGTAATGGTTTTGAGATAATTATCCTCGACTACAAGGTGCTGAGTTTGGGCAAGTAGTCTCTGCACAGATATTCTCACAGAAGTGTTTTCGTGTGTGTGTGTGTAAGGTTTTAGTGGCCTTTGTGCAAGGTTGTGGTTTTTGTAATAACTGATGATGGTTCTTATTACCAGGCACACTTGCATGAGAACCATCCCTTTATGGCCCTCTTGGCTCTGTTGTCAGGTCTTATCCCTTCCTTCCCTCCCTCCCTCCCTCCCTCCCTCCCTCCCTCCCTCCCTCCATCCCTTCCTCCTCCTCCTCCTCTTCCTCTTCTTCCTCTCTTTCTCTCTCTCTCTCTCTGTCTCTCTTTCTCACTACTTTAAAGCTACTCCATTTCAATGCTGACAAACTGCAGAAATGACAGCAAGTAACCTAGAAGGGATGCTGTAGTTTGGGGGTGGTATTACTTTTCTGTGGCTGCTGTGACAAATTATCATGAACTGAGTGACTTCAATCTACAGAAATGTGTTCTCTTACAGTTGTGGAGATCAGAAATCTGAAATCAGCATAACTGGGCCAAAATTAAAGTGTCAGTAAACCCACGCTCCCTCTAATGGCTCTAGGAGAGAATCTGTTTCTCACCTCTGCATTCCGGCTGTCCCGGGCTTGCGGCTGCGTCACTCCAATCACTGGCTCCACGGTCCCATCATCTTCTCCACTTCTGTGTTTTAAAAAATGGTCTCTGCCTCAGTCTTATAGGAATACATGTGATTGTATTTAGGGCCTGCTCAGATCATCTTGGATAATCACCCCATTTTGAGACCCTTAATTTAATCACATCTGTACACCCTCTTTATAAGCTTAGTACAGATGACTGAGGAAAGAGTCCGAAGGGAAACTTTTCAGGCAGGGAAGACAGAGTATGTAAACACTGACGCACCTGGCAGAAATCATGAAAGGCCTGAGAGGAGAATGGGGGAAGTATAAAGGGTAAGGGAGAAATTGGCCCAATTTCTCTGTGGGTGTGGAATCTCTAGGTCATCTAGACTGGAAACTTCCATTCTATTTGGACTCCAGCGGTCTTCCAAAATCCTGTATGTGCACATTTTTTCCCATACTGAGCCTGCCAACTATGTGTGTTGGGTAATTGCCAGTATTAGGAGTCTGAAAGTCCCTAAGCACTGCAGTTTTATGGAACCAAGTCCAGCTGTTTTCTGTGTAACTGAGTTTGCCAAGACATAGCTGGACAAGCAGTTTTCTCACATATACAAGTGGACACAAATTAAATTCTGTTGCATAGGTAGATTGCTGTCTGAGGACTGCTTGGTAGTAGGAATTTGGCTGTAGTGTGGTTAAAGTAAGGCAAGAACAAGAATCCTAGTTATTTTCCAAACTCCTCTTCCTCCTCCTCCTCCTTCTCTTCTTCCTCCCCCTCCTCCTCCTCCTTCATCAAATACTTTAAAATATATAAATTTTTATTTTGTGACTCAACAGGCCATAAAATGGAGTTGTTGGACAGGACTCTAAGTTGGGTTGGAAAAGAGACAAGATTGAAAATGAGTTATGCTCAAATTCTGATGGTTTTAAAAATAGTAATTACTACAGTTTAAAACTTCATATTTTTTCCACAGACCCGGGAACACAGCTTATTTGCTATTCAAAGTAGAAGTAAATATACAGAGTGGTGTGTGTGTGTGTGTGTGTGTGTGTGTGTGTGTGTATTCAAAAATGTATTTAGTTCTTATATTTATATGCCTGGCATTTAAGAATCCCAACCAACTTGTTTGGTAAAGTCAAAAAGAAGAGCAGTCAGGTGTTCTTAATGAAAGCTACAAAGATAGCTTTTGACTCACTTGATTGGCTCCCATCCCTGATTGAAAAATACATGGACCACATATCAAGGCCATCCACTTCACAAAGCACTGGTGATGGGCCTGACTCAAAGTCTGAAAATGGCATCTGTAAAACCATGTTCTCTATAAAAATATGCAAATTTGCCAAAGTGAGGAAGGGAAAACAATTCCATTAAATGTAGGTTCAGTAAGTATATTAGAACATACTGAATTAACTATCTCTGTTAAAACCCATCTTGTGACACTGGTGTTTGTCTGTTGGTATAGTGCTCACCCATGTTTCTGTTTGCTGTGTCGTGAAGTGCGACCACATGGTTCTTCAGACACAACCTCTGCTTTGTGATTTATCTCAACACTTTAACCCTGAGATTCTTTTTTACATACTTCAGTACATTTCCCAGAAAATATAGTCTCCATGAGGGATAAAATACCAATTAAATATAAAATGAAATCAGAGAAATATTAACCATTCACCCTACTAAGTTCTCAAAGGTTACATTCTTCACCAGGTCATATAACCAGGTCCCAGTAAAATACCTTCAGGCAGGCAATTTAATATCATGTACTTTAAAATACCATCATGAAGGCAGCTTTCAACAAAACATCCTAGAAGAAAAGGTCATTTGTGCTTACATCTTTAAAGTTTTGAAATAGCTATCGAAGATTATCTTTATGATATTGTCCATTGTCTGTTGCTGAAAGACTTATAAATTTTGCTTAAGAGTTTAGAGTTACCCAAAAAATAGCTGCTGCCATATGCAGATACTATTTTATTAACAAATGACAGCTGTTTGAATTCTGATTTTCCTTTTGGCCTTCAATCAGAAGAGGCTCAGGACTACATTTTAGGCTGAAGGGTAGTGTTTTCTTCCCTAGGTCTTCCCATGGAATTGTCACCTACTTCTCTTCATTATTCTGTCATTTTGGCCTTATTTTATAGTGTCACAGCCTTTTGTTCTAAGCTGTGTCAAAGGCTTTTCTGGAAATACACAGCATATAAGTACAAAATGATGAAATAAACATACTTCTTTATTTTGTTGTAAAAGATGCTTGGGTTGGACTAGATGACCTCTAAGGTCCTTTTCAGCTCTAAATTTATGTTACTGTCACCAAGGACAAACAAAAATTAATCTATTAGGTTATAGGCCTAGAGATGAATGCCAAGTACTGTATTCCTGCTCTAGGTATATTTCTTGTTGAAGGCAGTGCAAGATTCAGTGACCTGCTATGGTCCTTTACAGTCTTATTGTGATAAGACAAGAGAACCGATTGCTTAAAAAAAAAAAAAACAAAAAAAAAACTCAGTTAAAATGTCTTTTTACTCTTAAGCATCCACAAAAAATAAACAGAAAACATAAGAGTTGAATTATTTCTTTTGGGGTATTTATAATAAATCTAGACAACTAAGGTAAGCCTGAGTGTAGCTAATTTAATGAAATTAGTCATATTTGAATATTGTCAGAATCTTACTATCCCATTAGCATTAAGTGTGATTAAAATTTATTCTTTGTTTCTGTGAGAGTCTCCACAGAGTCAGCTGTCAACGCCTTCACAATAAACTGGCCCTTCATTGCTTTCAGGAAACTTTTAGATTCAGAGCAGGCAGTTGGGCTTCCGCTTTAAAAGAGAACAAATCACTTTTTAAGGTGTCTTTTCTGTTTGTGTGTCTGCATTTAGAACACAGAAATTGTCCATTGCATATTTTTGCTAGGAGGTAGAAGTTATTAAAAATATAGGAAATATTAGATATCATGTACTGATAGTTTCCAAAGCTAATTAAAATATTTTTCTTAAGCCCAACTGAATTAGAATAAAAACATAAATGTTAAAAACCAAACTCTAATTTAAGAGGTATACTTGTGAAATATAAATATTATTTTATAGTAATAAAATGTTTCTTATGGAAAAATAGAATATCATTTTGGTGAAGTTCAAAGAAATATCTTTTTTTATTCAGGGAGTTTCCAGATTTTTGTCTCTATAATGTTCTGTGTAGTGATTTAGAATACAGTACTTCCAAAATTTATGTCCACTAGGACCATCAGGAAGCAACTTTATTTGGAAGTAGGGTTTTTGCCGATATAATTAACCCAAGAATTGAGATGAGGTTATCCTGGATGAACGTGGGCTCTAAATCTAATGTAAATATCCTTATAAGAGACAAAAAAGGACACACACAGAGAAGGTCATGTGAAGATGGAGACAGAAATTGGAGTGATGCAGTCACACATCAAAGAAGGTCAAAGACTGCAGCAGCCACTGGAAGCTAGGAAGAAGCGAGGGATAAATTCCTTCCCAGGGTCTTCAGAGGGTATACAGCCCTGCTAACATCTTGATTTCAGAGGTCCAGCCTTCAGAACTGTGAGAGTATATATTTCTGTCCTCTTCTCCCACCACGTTTGTGATAAGTAGGCATGATGGCCCTAGGCAACTACTACACTCTAATTCAGAAGTTCTTCTCGATTTTATTATATCATGTGTTGGCAGGAAGTACCTGCGTGTTTCATTTGCAGGATATGTTGGTAATCTTAGAATGATCGTATCTTGTAAGTAATTTTAAAGGATGTTTTAATGTAGTCAGAAGCTTTTTTAATATAAAATTGAATCTTTGCTGAGATCAATTACATTTGAAAAAATACAAAAAAGCTGTATAAGACTTTAGGATCTTTCAGAATTTTATAATCTTTCTAATGAAAAGTTGGTTAAATAAAAATTGTACCCTAAATCATTTTGTTGATGGCTTAAAATAGTATTTAATGTATTAGTACTCAGAAAATATTATCCCCTAAATAGCATTTTGACTTTCATGTGTTGGTATCAAACAGTGAAGTGAGACAGCAAATTAGTACAAAGTGGTGATTATCAATCATCATAAATCCATGCCTTGATCTCACTGAGAAGAGTTTAATTTTAAAATGCATACCTGGAAAATGCAAATTAGTATAACATTTCGGTCATGTAGCATTATTGGTGATTGATTATAGTTATAATTGATCATTTTTAAGTTTAGATAGTCACTTTGAATCAAATTAGGGTAATTATAAGTTAAAGATTTATTATCATTTGCTTTGAATTTTTGATTAAAAATATGAAACCATAAAAACAGAGCTTTGACTATAATAAAGGTATTTATTCTTTCTTGGTAAGATTGAGGAGGGGGTTAAGAAAAGGCTAAGCAATGTTCTATTTTTTTTACATAGGCAAAAGTTCATTTGTGCCACTTTTTAATTAGGTAGTTAACTTTTTTGAAATGACAGCTTCCTAAACACTACAGATTTTACATGTGCAGTCATTAGGTTTTCATGTGGAAATACTATCTTTCAAATTCACACAGCTGCTTACTTTATGAAATGCAGTGGGACTGCTTACCTGCCACCTGACTAAACTGGCATGCATATATTCACGCCTTGCCAAATGAGGAGTTAGGGTGAAGAGTGATTAATATCCATTCTTTAATGAGTTGCTAAGTCTTTCTGAACATGTTTTCATTTTATTTATTGCAGTGGTATGGTAAAATTTCCATGTTGGTTATTGTACAAAGCATGATAATACCTTATGAAAGTAATGTTAATGACATCCATAAGATGTCATAAAATATTATATTCTTAACAGGAAATTTGTTATATAAAAATAACAATAAAGATCATAATAAGCTCTCCTTAATTCCATTTATTTTGACTTGGTTATTAAGTTCAGAAACATAGGTCTCAAATTTAGACATTATTCATATGTAATTATAAAGCCAAATAAATGTTAGAGGTTAACTTAAAAATAGTTTTGTGGCTCAACAATTGAAGTGAGATAGTGGGATCACAAAAGGCTTAATCATTTCGAATTGATTCTACAGATGTCTGCTTTCTCTAATCCCCTGTAAGCCTCCTTTCTTCCATGAAAGGTTATTCCTATAAATCTGGCACATAAAATCAATCATATGATTCTTTTCCATTCTGAGATTTCAAAGATTAGGACTTTCAACATAGAGAAAAAGTGCTGTGTAGAAATTGAATGTACAAGGGCAATACTTGGTACTTGGCAATGGAATTCAGCATTTCCCAAGTATTTGAGGAAACTTACAAAAACCAAATGTCTAGTACTTCTTATTCACATTTGCTATCAGAACCAGGATGGAGGCCTAGAAATGGTTTGAATGATTTTTTTTTTTTTTTTTTGAGACAGAATCTCACTCTGGTGCCCAGGCTGGAGTGCAGTGGTGCCATCTTGGCTCATT